TATTTTCAATGATCACAGTTTATTTAAATAGCGCCAATATTATATACAAAAATAAATTTATCTATAGCTTGATTAGATTAATAAATCTATATTAATTTCTGTTAATTAAAATTCTTTTTAAATACATATCAAATTCATCTGGTGCATCAGCATAAACCTGCAAAAAAAAAGGCAAGAAAGCAAGAATAGATTAATTTAAAAATTATTTTTCTTTTTGTTTATTTACATGATGACCAGCTTCTTTAATTGTATCTACATATATATTGTCACGTTTTCCTTGTACAATCATAGATGAATTAATATCAACCCATGATCGTTCACCATGAAGAAAATATATTGGAATTCGTTCATCAATTAAATGTATTCGATCAATCATAGGTTCTACAAAAAAAAAATTATTAAATAAAAAAAAAGAAAAAGAAATGATATAAAAAAATATGAACTTTTTGCCCACGCAAGTAGATCACTTATTGTTCGAAAAGCCTGTTCACCAGTTGGTACTTGAGCATTACAATGATATAAATATTCTAATATTCTATCATCATTAAATAATTTTTCAAATTTAACACGTAAATCCGGTCGAAAATATTTCATTATATGAATACCTAATTCAATAAAATTATATAAAATAAATTAAAAGTTTTTTTTTTTTTCAAAATTTCTTACCAAATGGTCCAGCTACACGAAGTCCAGCAAGTGGAGAAATTTTCATCATTATTGTTGAAAATGATCTTAACCATGGTGGTATACGTTGCATAGGTGATGCTTGCCAATTATCTGGTTTATGTCCAAAACCCCATGCATCAACTAAAACAAGTTGTTCAACATATTTTGGATAACGTATAGTATATGATGCACTTAAAAAACCACCAAAACTATGACCAAGAAGTATAAAACGTTCATTAAGTCCAATTCCAATTCTCCATTCTTCAAGCATATCAATAAATTGTTGTTCAGCTTCATCTGGATCAAGACTAAATATTGGTCGAGTACTATGTGCAAAACCTGGTAAATCAAGAGCATAAACAGGTCGATCAACACATAATTGATCAAGATTTAAACTCCATAAACCAATACCACCACCAAAACCATGAATAAGTACAATAGGAATATTTTTTGATGTTAAATTTGAACAAACAGTCCAAATTTTTTGTGTATCATTTAAAACATTGATATAACGACCTTGAAATTGTGATTTTAAAGTGTCAAATATTCTCATTTCTGCACGCACTAATTTTTCAGGACCAGTATTATTCCATGTGAATCGTCTTAAATTTTCAATTGTACGAAAACGACTAAAAAAAAATATAATCTATGTTCAGACACAATCAATTTTTAATCAAAAAATAAGCAATGATTTGAAAATAATATGAAAAAAAAAATTGCATTAGAAGCCTAAAGAAAAACCTATTTCCTTCATCTCGAACTCGAAACAGAAAACAAAGAAATTATTAATCTAAATTCTGACATTGTTAATCCAACGAAAGAACTTTCTTGTTGGAAAGCTTCACATTTTTTTTTCAGAGTTGATCTTGCAAAATTTTTGGATTTATTCCTAATATTTCTTTGATAGGTAATTCAGCTAGAGATTGTTGATAGGCGATTGAAAACAAGAAGAATTTTTTAAATGTTCGTGTGTAAGAATATTACCGTAACTATTATATATAGATATTAATTCAGATATTTAATTAAATTTAAGTGAAACCTTCAATATGATCTCTACTATGATTTATTATGGTATATTGCCAATTCTAGCGTTTTTATGAAAGCCATTTCGTGCATATATGGACTTTCTATAATACGCTAAATTTATCAGTATGCAGAATCAATTCATTTTTCAATGTCTTCATGCAGCATCATTTTGAAAGTTACTATCCTTATTCAATCTCGTGCATGTGTAAATATGTTCAGAAAACCTTTTTTTTATCGAAAACCATACCTATGAGTAGTTTATTCAATGGAATAGAGCACGAAATTCTAAAATGATTGATAAATAAAAGAAAATTGAATTATAACTCATCTTATTACTATATAAATGATATACAATTAAAACAAAACTCGGCCTTGTTTCATTTGATATACGAACCTAGGAGAAGAAATTTTTCTTGTTGTACTTGTTTGATTTGATATTAATATATTAGAATTTTGATTAGTTGTATTGTTATGATCAAGAACTGACAATGAAATCATTTGATCAATTGCATTCGATGCTGAATCATTTCCAGTTGTCATTAAAAAATCATTCGTCATTGTTGCCATCTGTTTTAATATCTGAAACATCATTCATTTTATTTTCATATCTAACATCAAAAAAGAAAAATCTTTCATTGTTTTTATGCACATAAAAAACTGAAGAAAAAAAAAAAAGAAAGAAAGAAATCACAAAAATATAAACACATCACAGTAATTATAAACGGGCTTGTCACATATGTATGTGCACGAAAAACAAACTAATCAAGAGGTTAAGATAATAGGCTGGATTGTAATGATTTGTAGAGCTTTTTCTTTTAAAATACATCTGACCATAATATTCATGTAAAATCTATTGCATATTTCTTACTCTGAAAGTATTGTTGTAGTTATAGTTTTATCTCCTGATGCCAATGTATGAAAATTCTGTGGTAAATCACTTAATATTTCACTCATTACTTCATGAAATTGAAGTGGTTTTTCCATAAAAAAGAAATGTGCAGCATTATGAATAATCTATAAATAAATAAAAAAACAAAAATCAAAACTTTTGTTTTATTTTCTCATACTTTAATACAAGTATTATTTAGACCACGTTGATGAAGAATTTGATGTGCAGCTGTATTATCAATATTCGTTCGTGAACCATAAATAAATACAAGTGGAATATCATCGGATATACCTTCTATACGTGAATGATCAGTTTGAACAATTGGATCTTTTGCCCAACCATACCATGATGCTAATGCTTGAAAACCTAAATCACCACTTTTTGTTTGTTTAAAAGAAAAAGAAAAGACAATCTTTAAATATAATGTTGCTTTTTTTTTAACGTAATATTATTCTACCTTGCTGATTGAACATTAACATAATATAAATATTCATAAACTGCATTAGATTTTTCAGTTGAAGAATCCATTGGTGCTAAACGTTTCCAACGTGGTGCAAATATTTTTAATAATGGTAAACCTAAATAATGTATATAAAAATTTAATTGTAACATAAAACTTTCATTGAAATTAAAGAATTGTTTATAGTATAATATCTTTTTCTCTCTATTGCTCGATTCTTCTAGATCTTATTGTGTCTATTATTGGCAAATTAATCATTTGATTCAAAATATACTCTTTAACTTTTGATAATATTTATATTTATAAAGAAAATGCTTCGAGTCTTTTTTTTTTATTATTGTTTATCATTTAGAAAGAAAAATACCTACAAGCACTACATGCCTTCGGAGACTAATCTATATTAAAAATAAAAGAAAGAGACTAATAAGATGATTATTATATTAAAGCTAATGATGATAGTTTCAAGGATATCATAAATGAGATATTAAGAGAATTTATTAATTTGTATTTACCTAATGGTCCAAGATAACGTAATGCAGAAAATGATGTCCATGTTTGAAAAACATAAGCAATTATTTTAATCCATAATGGTGTTCTTAAATTTAATTGATTTTCATCAGGTTTTGGATTAAAACCCCATGGATCAAGAAGAATTAATTTTTTAATAAATTGTCCATATCTCATTGTATATAATGTAGCTAAATAAGCACCAAAACCATGACCAACTAAATAGAATTTTGTTTGTAAACCGACAGCTATACGCCAATCTTCAATTGATTCAATAAATTTTGTTTCAGCATTTATTGAATTTTTTTGATCAAAATTTGGTCGTGATGAACGACCAAAACCAAGTATATCAAACGTATATAATGGATGATGTGCACTAAAAAAATCTATATTTTGTATCCATATACCACTAGCACAACCAAAATCATGTATAAGCACAATCGGTATAGCTGTTTGTAATGAATATAAACTTCTTATTGTCCAAATTAAATTATCACCACTAAGAATAAAAACAATATACATATATAACAATATTCAAGAATATTCTTCTTCTAACTTACCGAATACTTATATATTCACCATAATATTTTGTTTTCAAATCTAGAAATACATTTTTTTTTTTGATGAATAAAAATAAAATAATTGAATTATTAATACCTTGATATAATTGTTCTTCAGCTCGAGCAAGCATGTCTGGTGAAATCGAGAGAAAATTTAATAGAAAACGTGAAACACGCCATGAACTTAAACCCGTTCTAGAAAATTTCAAAAATAAAAAAACAAAAAACTATTTGTTTTTTGTATTTAATATTTTCAAAATGTTTAAAGTTTTAATGAATTCTTACGTTGTTGTTGATGTTAGCTGAGGAAATTGTTCATCTTGATTTTTAACAAGACTAGAATTTGTTCGTTTATCAACAACAAATTGTAATCGATCATAATCATATTGATCATTATCATAATTTTCATCGTCTTCAATTATATTCGGTGTATCGCCGAACATCGTTTTATAGTATAAAATTTTGCATTTTTATATAACAATCTAAAAAAGTATATTTAAGTACGTAGGCGTTCAATGTGTATGTATAATCAAATAATATTTGATTTTTCATACATATTATTGATGAATAATAAACCACATCATTCCTATATTCATTCTTTTTCAAGTGATGATGAAACGAACCCATGATTAAGTACGTACTCGTCTTGAGTTCTTATTTTATTGATGAATCATCGTCACCTAACAGGAGCAAGCGGGATCATTATCTCTCTAATCTCATTCTTTCATTTCTATTGGTTAAAACATAAAACACTACAATCAATGTTATTAATCTCGAACTCGTAGCGCTGTGGTCTCATATTGTTTACTTCTCTTTTTTTTCCTTCTTTTTGTTGTATTATTGAACTTCTTCAAACTAGTTGTTTGTTTTCTTGCCAATAAAATATAGAAAGATGTCAACAAAAACAGGAAATGTACCATTAAAACAAGATTTTAGTCATTTAAAAACTGGTCGTATTAATTTAACTATTTTACGTGATTCTATACTTCAACAAATAAAACGTTGTATGAATCAATTTCAAACTGAAAAAAGTAATTTACCTAAACAATTTACAAAAGATAAATGTGTTATTATTGATGATGATATTAAAAATTTACTTGGTCATATTCAAGCATTAAATGAACTTGGTGCAAATGATATACGAATATTTAAAGAACGTCAACATGATACATCAGATTATAAAATAACATTATTTATTGTTCGACCAAAACCAATTTATATGGAAATAATTGCAAATATGATACGAGATGAAATGAATAAATTAACTCAATTGAAAACTAAAGAAACAATTTTAAAACAATATGGTATTATATTTGTTCCACGTCAATCACGTGTTTGTGAAGAAAAATTAAAAGAAAAAGGTGTTCTTGGTGATATTATTATAGATGAACTTAATTTAGATTTTTTACCTATTGATACAGATTTATTATCAATGGAATCATATGATTGTTTTAGAGATTTATATTTAAATAAAGATACAACACCAATATTTAATTTAGCACATGGTCTTATTACATTACAACAATTATATGGTATTATACCAAATGTATTTGTTAAAGGTGATAAAGCTAAACAATGTTATGATAGTATGATGAGAATGCAACGTGAAGTACCAGATAATGAAAAAAAAGTACCAACACAAATTGAAAATCTTATTTTAATTGATCGATCGATTGATTTAATTACACCAATGATGATACCAGCAACATATGAAGCTTTATTAGATGAAACTTTTGGTAAGATTAAATAAAATTAAAAAGAGAATTGTTTGATAATATGTTTAATGAAAGAAAATAATCTGATAAATTAAGTTTTGTTTTTTTGAATGAATTATGATTTAGTATATAGATAGGAGAATCTAAGATTGTTGATGAGAACTGTATATAATATAGAATGAGAAGTCATACAAATTTCGATGAGTTTTTATCTCGTAGCAAAACTATCAGTTCTGTAATGTTAGAAATTTTCTTTTTTTTTTAATATTCCGTTTTATGTTTTGAAAAACAGATAGAAATAAATTGAATTTTTATATGATAATTTTTTAACTTATTGAAGACTTAAAAAAGTCATTCTAGGTTCCTACATTAGAACAAGTTTGTGTACCTAAATTCAATAGTCCATGTATCAGAGTAAGTTGGAAGGATCAACTTCGGATTTAAAAGTTTACATGAATTGATACGATTAGTATTACGTCTTACAATCATTTGAGAATTCTACGGTATCCTATGAGATATTCTCTGTAGGTTACTATTCATGTCTAACGAGGAACATCTTCCAACTGATTAATCGCTCGTGTTCTTAGCTTATTGCTGTGGAGGTACTACATTTTTACGGTATTTTTTATATGAGTACCGTAGTCTTCCTTAGGAACACCAGAAAATCTGATTTTCAAATTGCAAATTGGAATAGACTTCTTTTGTATAGCTCATATAAACCGGTAGATTTGATGTTCTAATTTCGAGATAGAAGTACATCAAATGACTTGAAAGTTTCATAATAAACTATTCTCATTAAGGCCCCTGTTCCAAGTCGAAATTCAAAAACCAGTCTTTCTAGCATTCTTGACGGTGACCATGATATTCATTTAAGAAACAAATACCATAAAAGTGTAGTATCTCTGCAGCAATAAGATAAAAGCATGAACACTTTTCAGAGTATTCATACCTCATTTGAGTCTACATAATGGACATAATCTAGACTCAAAAGCAATTTATCAGTTGGAAGATTTCTCTTCTAACTGAATAAAAAAATTACGCTATATAATAAATTATTTCGAATTGATAATAGTAGAGAACCGATTGACAAGATTTTTGAAAAGTTCAAAACTAGAATTTAAATACATATTTAAAAACGAAGAAATCAGTTCCAAATATTTTCTTATAATAACAAAATAAGAAAAATATCTATTCGTATTTTGTTTTCTTTTTAAGGCATTCAATTTAATCGTATTGAAGTTCCAACATCATCATTTAGTGCTGATTTTCGTGAAGTTCAAAAACTTGATATAACTACACAAGAAAAAGTTGCTGTTCGTTTATTAAGTACTGATAAATTATATTCTGATACACGTTATTTACATATGATATCAGTTGGTAAAATACTTCAAGAAGGTGCTCGTGCTCAACGACAATTACGTACTGATTTTGATAATCAATTTTCTGGTTCAGCATCAAATATTCAAGGTAAAAAATTAGCTGAATTACGTGAATTTGTAACACGAATGTCAAATCAAAATGCTAAAACTCAAACATTATCAACACATCTTGAATTAGCATTTTTTATAAAACAAGAATTAACATCTATGTATGATATGTATTTATCAAATCAATTATCAATGTTATTTTCACCAACATTACAAGATGGATTACATCATACAGATGAACGAATTGCATTGAAAGATAATATTTTTTGTATATTACGTTATTTATCAATAATAACACAATCATTAGGTACACAATTAAAACGTAAAGATTATGATTTAATAAAAAAAGATCTTATACAATCATATGGTTTACAATATCTTGTTTTAATACATGCACTTGAACAAGTTGGAATATTAGTAGTACCTGATATAGGTAAAAGTACATCATCAATAAAAACAAATGAAACAAATTTTGAACGTTTAAAACGTGAATTTAATTTATTACAAGATGAACAAACAATAAATGTTATTGATCCACAAGATATTTTTTATATTTACTATCAATATGCACCAATAAGTATACGTTTAATAGAAAAAATTGTTTTTCCAACAGCAATTAATATTCAAGATACAATGAATATTTTACCTGGTATAACATTTATTGATACACAACAAGTACCTATGGAATTAAAACGACAAAGACATGGTTCAACAACATCAATTAGTTCATTAAATAAACCAAATAAACAACAAATTCAACAACAACAACAACAAGCTACAGAATCAAGAGTAACTTTAGTTGTTTTTATTGGTGGTGTAACATATGGAGAAATTGCAGCATTAAGATTTTTAGCTGATCAAAATCATGATTTTATTATTGCAACGACACATTTTATTAATGGAACTAATTTAATGAAATCTTTACTTGATGTACCAATTTTACCTTTGTGATACAGAACAATATTTGATTGTCTTTCATATTAATTTTTCCATTTTTCTTTTTTTTTTTTTTTGGTGTTATTAACAAATTGAATGATTGAAACATCTATTTATTTTTTAATCTTTTTTTGCAAAAATTTTATTCTTTCTAGATTAAGAGAATGGCTCATCAAATTAATCCTCATCAACAAAAATTAGCTGAAAAATTAACAATTCTTAATGATAGAGGAATTGGAATGTTAACAAGAATATTTAATATTAAAAAAGTAAATTATTTGTTTCATCAAAAAGAAATATACATCATTTTTTTTTGTAATTGATATGTAAAGCTTGAAAAATTAACTAAACAATTCGTCATAGAGACTTAATAGTTTTTTTTTGTTAGAAAGAGCAAATTTTCTTCGACAAAGTTGTGTGAAAATATTTATTTCGAAATATTTACCGAAAGTCAAAAAAGTTTTAAGAACATGTTTGATTGAAAAAGTTGGTCTTATTGTTTGTCTTTCATCGGATTTTGTAGCGCTACGATAGAATATTATAAACAGGTAAAAATAAAGTTTTCAAGTTATTAGTTGAGTTCGAAATCGACATTTTTCTAATGGACTGTAGCTAGAAACAAAAAGTGTTCATACCTAATACGATATTTTCTAGCAATCGACGTTATTGAATCTCCATATTTCATATCCAATTTGAGTTTAGTGAACTCTGTACAAAAGTACATTATATATATAAAACAGAATATTAGACATAATGAGAAAAACTTCATTGAATCTTATAGAGGAAAAACCAAGCACCGAATAAAACTATTTCCTAATAGAATCTGTAGTTTTATAAGTCGAATATTTTCATAGCACTAGAAAGTTCGTGTCATGTTGCTTACACTCACACATAATATTCCTAAAAATTTCGAAACCCGAGTGCAAGACATGTTTCCAGCCTTCAGTAAGTATTTTGAACGAAAAGTTTTTATATCATTCGTTCTTTTTTTTAAACAGGAAGTCATTTATGTTATGAAAAAAATTGATTTCAATTGAAGATATGTATGTGACTGCTAGATTTTGTATTTGCAATAGTTTGTACCCTATATGTTTTCGATTATGCTAAATTATTATTAGCTGCTCGATGTTTAGCCTTGGCTTGATAATATAAAGGAATTCAAACTTTCAGATTTGATATTTTAAAAAAGCTTCTGCACTAAATCAAACGAAATATAATAAAGACGCCAAGAAAAAAAAAAAGATTTCGATTGTAATATGAATGTGACATATTTATTTTAGGCATGTGCTGAAACAAAATCTAAACCAGCTTTTCTTCTGGATAAAAATCTTGAATCGATTCTACGTCAGATACAAAAGAAATTTCCAGCAGTTGATAAAGTACCTATATTTTATTGTTAAAAAAAAAAGTGAAAAATCCTAATATTTGAATCTTAATAGAGTCAATTTCAAACACTTACATCTATTAAAACTGATATAATCAAATCACTTGCAATATATTATTTTACATTTGTTGATCTTTTAGAATTTCGAGTAAGTTCTTCTTTGTATTTTTTTTTCCAAATTCAATTATAATAAAATTTTAATCTTTTAGGATCATGTTACCGATTTATTAACTACTATTGATGCTTGTCAAGTTCATTTTGATATTGTATGTAAATTATAAAATTTTATATTCTTCTTATTTTTATTAATATCTATCTTTCTTTTTCATTTTTCGTTTTATTAAATATTAGGCACTTAATTATGATTTAACAAAATCATATTTAGATTTAATTTCAACATATATTTCACTTATGATACTTTTATCACGTGTTGATGATCGTAAAATTGTTCTTGGTTTATATAATATAGCAACAGATTTAATACATGGTCATGGTGATGCAAGTTTTCCACGTCTTGGTCAAATGATAATTGATTATGAACAACCATTACGTAAATTACATGATGAATTTGTTCCTCATGTACGTTCAATTGGTGATGCTATACAATCTTTAGCACCTATATATGATCGTCGTACATGTAAAGTATCTGATTGGCGTGCAAAAAATTTACTTAGTTTACTTGCTACATCTCAAACAGCACATTTAATGGATACATCAGAAATTTTACCATGTGAATATTTATCACAAGAATCAATTGAACGTTGGATTATTTATACAATGATTGTATGTCCACAACAATTAATAATGAATTCAAAATGTATGCAATTATTTGAAAAAGCTTTATCAAGTAGTTTTGTTCATGTACTTTATCGTGATGAATTATTATTAACACATCAATATTTACATCAAAATTTAGATATTTATAAATCATATAGACAATTAAAATTAACTGAATTATTAAATGATACATTTAAAAAAGCAATTACTGATCAACCTTTATATAGACGTGAAAGACGAAAATATATTCGACCACAATTAAAAGAATTATCTTTAGTTTTTGCTGATCAACCAGCATTACTTGGTAAATAAAAAAGAAAAAAGAAAAGCAAAGATTTTTATTTTAAAAGAATTAAACAATTAGTCATCATTGTCATAGTATGATGATTTTTGTAGTTGAATTAAATTTAAAAGATTTCAATCTTTATCTTACGAGAAAAGTTTCCAACTGTTTAATCACTTTTCAGTTGAGACTATGTGCATCATGTAAATCCTAATAGATTATGAATACCCTGAGAAGAGTTTGGGCCCATCGCTTATTGCTGCCAGCATATTGTATTTTAACGGTATTTTTCAACACTGTTCCATCGAGACAGAACTTGACGAGAATAGTTTATTGTAAAAGTTTCAGATCTTTTGATTGGCTTCTTTTTGGAAATAAGAACATCAAATCTGCTCCTGTATATAAGCAGTGTGAAAGGCAAGCTTTTATCCAAGAATAGGAACAATGAAAATATCTGAAAATTGCACAGTAAAGTATTTTCAATGGGATCAGTCTCTATGGAAAGCTTCAAGTTGAAGTTCGAAAATGAGTTTTCCTAGTGTTTCTGACGGGTATCATGGGATTAACTTGAAAAATACCATAAAAATGCAACATCTCAGCATCAGAGTAAGCTATGAACCTAAATTCTTTTCGAAGTATTAATAATCCATTAAGACCTACATGGCACGCATAGTTCCAATCTAAAGGCTTTTAATCAGTTGAAGGACATCCCTCGTTAGAATAAAAAAAGTTGATAGTGCTTAGGCTGTAAAAAGAGATTTAGAATAGAGGATAGGAATATAAATTTCGATGGATAGTTATAAACTTCTCGTATTTGTGAAAAGATTGTTTCCGTCTTCTTGCGATAATCTTAAACTCTACAATTTATCAGACTTCACCTGTGTGATTGCTTGAATTCTTGAAAAGACGTGAGTGTTTTCTTGAAATTTCACAAGAAAAACAAGACTATGTCATCAGTTTTTGTACATTCATTATCAAATATGAAGATCGATAGGTTATTCTTTTCCTTTTAAATTATGAATAATCTTTTGACGGTATCGGACAATACATTCTTTGTATAATGAATGGCTACTATGATCTATTGGATTTATCTAAGAAGAGAACGTCCTTAAATGTGACACTACTAGAAGCCTTATAAAGGTTCGTCCTCATGTACTGTCCTTCTCAAATTATTACAATTTTACTGATGGTTTTTCTCTAGGAAGATATATGTAAAAAAATCGAATTACGAGATTTCAACTTGAAATTTTGCCCATAGAGTAAGTCTCATAGATATCTATATGTTCTTCTTAAGATATAACAATTATATGTTACAAAGAAAAGTAAAGAAAGCTCAGTGCTTTCAACATTTGATATCTCAAGAAGAATATGTCCCTTTCGACTGAAATGTTCAGAGCACTTAAACATTCATGAGATTTACCTATGAGCAAGATATCAGTTCGATTGACCAGTCACACTTGGAACGTTCTCTCGTAAGAAAAGAATATTCAATTTTTCATTTATTTTTATTTTTATTTTTTTGTTTGTAAACATTTCGATATTCATATTTTAGGTCCAAAACTTTTAACTGCTTTTACTGCATTAAGTTTAGCACGTGATGAAATCGTTTGGTTATTACGACATAGTGAAAATTTTCCAGCTAAACTACAAAAAGAAACAAATAAAAAAGCAACTGGTACAACACGAGATGATTATAGTGATCGAACATATCCAGAATTTTTATTTTATATTGGTAAATTCTTTTTGTTTTTTTGTATTTATTTATTTTTATTTTTATTTTTTGTTCAGAGGAACTTCGTCATTTAATAACAATATATTCATCTGTAATAAAACAATATTATATTGAATGTTTATCAACACTTGATTCAAATGATTTACAAACAAATATAAAAAATCTTAATATGTCATGTACAGAAGATGAATCAATATTATTAACATCATTTTATAATACAATAACAACATTATCAACATCAACAAGTGCTGATTTACGTGCATTACGTCTTGATTGGTTTCGTATGCAAGCTTATACAAGTGTAACAAAAAAATCATCATTATCATCTATATCACTTTCACATAATGAAAATTTTGCACAAATAATGAATACAATTTGTTTTCATTCAAAATGTGTTGATGATATTGAAACATTATTATATGAAACAAGTGATTTATCAATATTTTATTTTTATTTAACACAATTTGATCATTTATTTTCATCATGTATTTATTATCCATCACAAATACGTTATGCTATTGCATTTCCATTAATATGTCAACATTTTATAAATGCAACACATGAATTATGTCCTGAAGAACGACAACAAATTGGAGATTTAAGTTTAAAAAGTGCACATGCTTTTATTGATGAAATATGTAAACAAATAAAAAGTACTGTTTCAGAAATAGCTAATGAATATTTTCTTATGAATGAACAGGTATGATTTAAAAGAAATATATAATTATTTTGCGTTTTAATATGATAATATTATTATGACATGAGAAAAATAAAATCGAGTCTTGAAAATTAGATACTAGATGCATGTATTTCGTTCTAATAGGCTTAATTCTTTTCCA